GTGTGTGTGTGTGTGTGTGTGTAAAAACATACTACTGCCTCAGCCTTCAGGAGATATTATTGTGTTTTTACAATTTATTTTACAATAATTCACTTTCAGTGTGCAAACAACATTTGTTTGATTCATATAGTTAAAAACGAATTTTACATTTTTGAATTATCTTATGTTTATTTGTCCAAAATATGATTTTGATGTGAAAACCGTTGGAATTAAAAAATGTCATGTTTTTAAAAGGTGTAAACTCTCGGATGTATTACCCTCTCAAACCACTAGATAGAGCGCTTCTCCTAGAAATAGGGACATGCTGGTGTTGAGGACTGTTTTTTTGTGTGTTTTTGTCTTCATGTCCTGATCATCTTTTGATGGTTTCATGAATACAGATGAGAGTTTTTCTCAGGCCTGATCAAGTTCAACTTGAAGTGATCATTTCTGTTTTGTATTCATGATAACTGTGACACTAGTGTAACTGAATCAAACCTATTGAAGTCCATTAAAAAATCGAGAAAAAGAAACAAGCTGTTGAACCCAATTTAACCTGCAGCGTTTCAGTGTTTCTGATTGCACATGTATACATGGACAAACGGACTCAATCATTTACACTGTGAGGAGAGCCTGCAGAGCCAGTGTGAGCAGCAGGGCCAGAGCATTGATGGAGTGGACGGCTCCGGCACTGGAGAACACGAAGCTCGTCCTGCACGGGTTCTTCACCTCCTCATATGGAATAGGAACATCATCTGGACTCGCATCACTCAGACTGTCACGGACCTGACACACAAACATAAGACTGTCAGCCAGCAGACGCTCAAACACTGTGACAGGTGTGTGTTCTCTCACAGCGTCCACCTGCTACCAGAGCACCAACACCCACTGTTTTTATCAGGAATCACTCTACAGAAATTTGAATCTTTTGACTCTTTGAATACGAGATAGTAAAGAGCATATACTGTACATCTGCTGAGGCTCAACAGTCCCAGCACATTTAAATTCTCTAGGTTTTTTACATAATTTGAAATCATTTAGGCTGTATGAATGTTTCCAGGAGAATATCAGGGTTTGTGTTAGGACAGTTTTCTTTATTTAATCTGAAAGATACTAGTCCTTCCCATTTGCAGGGTAACCATGGACACACTGAGAGTCACGGAATTACTTTTCATCCAGAAATAAAAACATTTAAAAAAGCACGAGCTTCCGTTACGAGTTGTGATTCAACTGAAGATGTGTAATGTTTGACAAAACCTGTGACAAAGGGTTATTTAATAGATATAGTGTCATAATGTCAATGCAGAGTATGTCTCCCTTCATGTGATCGTCTCTGCAGTCATACAGCCACCTTGTATTTTCACAGGTTGTAAAAATGGGGATTTTCCATTCTCCATCTCACATGATGTGCATCAGATGCTCTTAACCTGGTTCACGCCCATGTCTTCACTAAACTTTACACCCCCAGCTTTTAATTAAGGCTGTCTGTTATAAATTTCCTATCTCATAGATAGCCGTCAAGGTTCTTTTCTCAGACAAACCTCTTTCACAGCCGCAAACAATATGCAACTGTTTTTACTGACTCAGTTTCCAGCAACTACTCGACTGACCAGGATGTTTTAACCTTCTTGAGTTCCCCTTGGCAAGAAATTAAGTTCTGTGCTGATATGCAAATCAAAACTTTTTTTCTACGGTGCATGAACTGATATCAGAAACACACACATATCTAGATCAAGGTTGTATTTGTTCATGTCTTTCTATAGTTTCAGAGTCTTAACGAGTTTTTTGAGGGTTACCACTTGTTTTGGGTTCAGGTTAGAACTGTTAGTTTGGTCAGCCGTGTCGTTTTATTGGTTGAAGAGCTTCATTATGAATTCAAACGTGTGTGAGTGAGTGTGTCTGTGTCTTCTCTTGACCTTCTCGACCTCTCTCATGACACGGAGCAGATTATTTCCCAGAGCAGCTTTAACCTCTTCATCGGTCCATCCTCTTCTCAGCAGTTCAGCCACCAGATTGGGGACCTTGGACACATCCTCCAAACCCTCTGGTAATCTGAAGGAAGGAGGATTTTACTTCCTACTAGTGACACATAACTGTCATGTTAAGTCTTTTATAAGCAAGAACAAAAACAGAAATATCTAAATAGCCTTAATTTTTTTAATCTGCCAAAATTGTGGGATGATGTCAGATCCCATTCATTGCTCGTAATAAACAGCTACTTTCTGGAAATTGCCTTTTCTGGACTCTAAGTTAATGTAGGAATTCTTTCTGTACTAACCTGGTAACTCCATCGTAATCTCCCCCAAATCCGATGATTCCCGCCCCTGCCACTTTCTTGATATGGTCAAAGTGATCTACAGTGACAGCAGTAAACAGAGATTAAAGTGCATCAACATGGGCTTTATAGAGAATAACAGTTAATATTCAACCAGGTTTACAGTGGGTTTCATCATCATCATCATCATCATCATCATCATAACGGTTTAATTTACCAGCGACATCCGAGACCTTCGCGGTCTTGCTGCAGGTCACATAGTCGTTGTAGAAGTTCACCATGACGATTCCTCTGGTTTGATTCTGCAGCGACAGACAGGATGGGACATGAAGAGAGACAGTGTGATTTCTGCTTTGACACGAGACCCTGCAGTGACCGAGAGAAATCGAGATGTGTTCCAACTCACTGTGATCCAAGTACATGAGGGTATTGACCTCCATGTTCTTGTCTGTTAGAGTGCCTGATTGGAGCTGTTGTAATTTAACACCACTGCACAACAATCCTCCTTCAATTGCCATTGGACAGGAACTTGCCTTCATTATATCAGTATAAGTGGACACAAGGTGACGGTTTACAGCTGCTTCAAGGCCTTCGTGCCATAAAGAGCTTTCTGAGCATGTTAGTTATCTGAGATAGTGAGCAGGGAAGGTAGCTTGTGTTTTCATAGTTGTCTACAGCTTCCGTGGAATCGTTAACGGGACTGCTTCTCCATAAACAAATCACTTCAATGTCAATAATAGCTCAGTAACATTCAGCCGTGTGCTGTTCAACATGAGAACCATGAGTACACCAGAGCTATGTGCTCGTCAAGGCAACTAAATGGTAAATGAAGTAGATAATGTATCTGCACTTCCTTCCACTACCCAGAAAAAATATCATTTCACCAAGTTTTTGATAGCATCAAATAACTAATCAAAAACATGTTACATCAAAAATCAGCCAACAACTAGGGGGTGGTCAAGACACTGGCCTCACTTTTCAGGAGCAGTCATGTCGTCCATCTTTAAATACAGTCTATGGTCAAAACTATGGTGAGGTTTGCATATATGTGAGGATGGTAAAAACGTTATGGGAGAGAATCGAATTATTAGACTATAGTTCACACACACTCACACACTCACACACACTCACACACACTCACACACACTCACACACACACTCAAACACTCACACACACTCACACACACACTCACACACACTCACACACACTCACACACACTCACACACACTCACACACACACAGACAATGACTCACGACTCTCTTGAGAACATCATCAGGGACGTTCCTCTTATGTGGACAGACGCTGTAGGCAGAGGAGTGGCTGAAGATAACGGGAGCTCTAGACATATCTAGCACCTGGTTCATGACTGCAACAGTCACATGAGCCAGGTCAATCAGCATTCCCAGCCGGTTCATCTCCACTATCAGTCGCTGGTGAGGGAAAACACACTATGATTAATAAAACATGAAAAAAAACACTTTATATCTACAATTCAATTTTCTTATCTACTAGGATAAACATATTAGTAAGTAAAAATCATGTTGTTCTTGTAATTGATTGAGACACATTGCACCAGAAAAAGGCGTTGTCAGTTGTGTAAGTGAAGATATTTTTCGTTTTACACATTCTTGAAGACGCCTTGATCATGCAATGGAAGTTAACATTTTAAGACACTTATCTGTAATTCTGAGAATGGAAATTTAGCCCTGTGCTATTTGTACTCAGACCTTGCCGAATGGGGACAGGCCATTGTGTTGAGATGGCTCTGATCCAGTGTCAACACGCCAGTTATCAGCCCTGACGAGAAAAACAACGACGAGGGAATTAGCTGTTATTCCTTGGATTGACCAAATAGTATTATTAACAATAATAATTATCACATTTATAGTTTGGAAATGAATTCAATTGATCTGTTAAGACTTAATTCCCATGTGAATTTAGTTTTTCAAATACCCAATACTGTAGTTACTGCAAATGTGAGTACAAATGCAGGACCCCAGTGGCTCCTGCAGAGAATCTGATATGATATTCTGCAGAGCAAACGAGGCCTGCAGGAAATCCCCAAACTCTCCACATCCTTAACTGAGCACAACATCTGACTGTTACACACCACACTGAGCTCTACTGAAGGTTTGGTTAGTAAAGAGACACAAATACAGTGTTCCACTATAGACTAAACTACCTGACAGGATTTTGATTCGATTTGATAGTAGCTGAAGTTATTCATTGATTTATTGATTGTCTAAAAGTTGATCCGAAGAAAGATTTAAAGGTTTGAAGGGATATTGGAAGTTGAGGGAAAGGGCTGAGGTGAAGATGTGTCTCACAGGCTGGTCTGGGAGGATGCACTGGTGACCGTGTGGAAGGAAACTCATTGTCAGTGTTCCATCTCAGACATCATTGTCCCCATACGTGCCCCCCATACCAGTACCTTTAATGACCCATGTGAGAGATGTGCACCAAACTGAATAAGAGAGGATGAAGGGATGTGGGCGAGCAGAGGGAGGAATGAGGTAGAATGATAAATGGATGAAGGGTGGGTTGAGAAATCTGAGACAAACAGAGCATCATGGTTGAATGGGAATTTGTGAGCTTGACAGGAGTGGTGGAGGCGCGGCCCTGCTCCCGAACTTGAACTAACTAGTTAACATTTCAAGGTTGCACCTTGAAAGTGAGAAGAACTTTCCATATGTTAAAACCAACAGAATAATTGTGATTATTGTTTGGACAAGAAATTAGAGGGGATCACTAGTTCTTGGTTGACGTGTTGGTCATTGCTCATTATTTTCTAATATTTTACAAAAATTAAAAAAAAAAAGTTAAATCAACTTCAATAGTAAACTTGTGGTTGCATATTAGTTCTTCAATGAAGTACTAAACCTGTTTAAAGGTCACATGTGTCTCATTTCCATTTGTGTATGAGATGACATAATTCTGCCGTGCTGATGTCTCTTACCATGGTGTGTTACAGGAGTGTGTGAGAGTCAGGTAGCGGACCCCCAGCTGGTACATGACACGGAGGGTGCCCAGACTGCTGTCTAAAGAATGACCCCCCTCCACCCCGATCAGACTGGCTGTCTTGTTCATGTTGAAGGCGTCCATGATTTCTGTGCAGCGCAGACATAAGAGATGACAGGTGATTCCACCAGGAAGCAGAGGCAGGTACGAACAGAAACAATGTAGCAGTGCATTTTGTTGTCTCTGAAATTATTTGTACAACTCAAAGTCTCACCTTTGCTACTGGTGGCGAACATGAAGGTTTCTGGGTATTTTTGGCAAATCCTGTGAACCACATCTATCTGCTCCAGTGTTTGTCTGACAGCATCTTTGTACTGAGTCTCACAGGGAACGTAGGCTGACCAGAACTGAGAGGAATAAACGATAACGTATGAATTATCTGACGTGTAACATACAGCAAGTCCTCAACCAGATTCTTCTTAAAATAACACATGAAAGATTTAGAAGGCATCACACCAAGGGTTTGATGTCTTCACCAAATGAAATGCTTGATTTAAGCTGTATAGATAATGATGTCATCTGCATACAGGTGAATCTTTACTGGCTAAATGTTGAGTGAAACTACACACCTCTGTGGCTGTAGTAAACAGTTTCATTCTATAATATTTTATTTAGCAAGGAAATAAGGATGCTATTACCTGAAAGACACAAGTGCTTATGAGGTGGTTAAATAGCATTAGATCTTCCTCGCACCTTTCGTCGTGACCCCAAAGTTATCTTAAAGAAAAGTTCTTCTGAAATGAAATCAGTATCCTTTGACCTTGAAAGCATAGTTTCCTTTAATTCCCAGTACATCCTATTCTGTATGTACCTGTGCGCCCAGCCGTCCCGCTTTGATCTTGGGGATGTTGGTGTGTGTTGTTTTGAGGTTGTTGAGATCCACTTTGTTGAGCTCATTGTTGAATTGCTTTAGAAGTTGCCATGGCAGGTCGTTATGGCTGAAAGATCAGAAAGTGAAGGTCTCACTCTGTAACAAAAACTTTTCTCAAAGTTTTCTTCACAAAATGCTTTGACAGCAGGGAGGAGAAATATACATTTTATTTAAGAGCATGGTCTTTCATTTGAGAGCATAATGTCTTCATTTCATGGTCAGATCTTCTAATGCTTTCCTTAAAGATCCAGTGAAAGATTTAGGTGAAAGGAAACTGTTGGAAGAAATGTAATGTAGAATAACCCTCATGATGTTTGCACTAGTTCGTTTCATGTAAATTGTATGAATTGTGGTTTTCTTTAGCCCAGAAAAGACCCTTTATATTTAAATACTTAAATATTTACATGGAGGGGACCCTCTCTACAGAGGCCGCCATCTTTTTTACAGTAGTCCAGACTGGACAAACTAAACACCTTTTGAGTTTTTATGACAACTTAAATCTACCACAGGTTCTCTGTCATGTTTGGAAGGAGAGGGTGAGGTGACGGGTATTCAGCTGCAACATGCAATTTCAACTCTAGATCTCCCAAAATTCTTAACACTGTACCTTTAAAATACTCTGTCCTTGCTGCTCCTGTTCAAAACTGTTTACCTGCATATATGTGATTGACTATTCTCCTCTAGGAAAGCAATATTTACAAGGATGATATCTCAGTAAAATTGCATTGTGAAATAAATTAAACCTGCCATGGCTCAATTACTGCTGGTCAAATTTTAAAGGTTTCATTCCAAGGTTTGTTTAGAACACTCCCTGCACTGTGTAAATCTAATAAAGTCAACACAAAGTCTTAGTTCAATTCAAAATTATATGAAGCTGTTTGTTCATACAACAATAATATCTAGTATTTTCTTTCACGATTTTAAGAAACTCAGAGAAATGATGTGCAGCTCAATGTGTTGCTCACTGTGATGTCAAATGAGTAATAAACTGAAATATGTTTTGATAATCTTTCTTAGCTTCATCAGACACAAACCCCTTTATTTACAGAAAAAGAGTTTGTTGCCACAGTGTTAGCGTAACATAGCATTATCATAGAATTATTTCAATGCCAAATGTAGATTTTTAAAAATAAAACGGATCTGCTGAGGCTGGTTGAACAGATAATATATAATTGAGCTATTCTTTACATAAACAGCTATTGGGGATAAGGCAATACACAGAGTAGGCTTCTGCTCATGTCCGAACAAAAATTGTGGTTCAGGTTTTAATTAAGGATTTTATGGAGGTGGCATTTGCTCTTGAAAAACGTTGCCAGATGCTTATGGCTTAAGGCTGTCTTCTGAAAACCAGTGTTGAGCAGAGGAAGTTTGCACCCAACAGTTGCTATCTGAGACGAGAGTTAAGAAAGAATAAAGATAAGAAAGAAACCTCATTACAACGAAGGAAACTCTATAAAAACAGCTTTTTTTGCTGAATTGGCACTGGAAATTCCCTCTGAAAGCTTTTTACCACCGCAGATGTTGCTTCCATGGTAAAAAGCAGATACCATAATCAAAACCATCGTGTGAAGCTCTTTTTATTCTATGTAGGAGACTTACCCGTCGATAAGTGGCGTCTCAGACATCAGCTTTAGAGCTCTGGTCAAGTACAGGTCCTCAGCGAGGGCACAAGAACTGATCCACACCATCAGATGTACAGCTGAGATAACCCTGGACAACATTGCTCAAACTTATACACACCCTTGAATACTTTTCTTTTTCTTTGTCTCCACAAACTTTAGATTAGATTTGACTTATTATCTATTGTTTTCTCTCTTCTGTACAATCCTGACTCTACTAAACTGCTGCTGGAGAAAATTTCTCTTTCATCTGCCGGTTTCTGGTCTTTAAGCTTTTGAATTCTCACCACAGTCTTCTGTCTGTTTCCATTTGACAACGCCTTCAAACATCAACTCTGCTCCTCCTCTGTATTGAGTCTGTTTTTTATTACTGTCAGCCGCTTAAACAGCCTTTACACTCTCTCAGATGGTTGAGCAATAACTGTTGGTAAATGTACAGTATATTGTGCCTTTGGACGTTTATATATATATATATATATATATATATATATATATAGTACTATCATACATTTATATATGGTACTATAGATTTATATATAGTATAGATATATATAGTACCAAAAAGTATCAAAAGCGAAAAAGAAGAAGGCAGAAAATTGACCTTTTCAGTGTTTTACTGTATGTGTCCATGTTAGGGCTGAGCAATATGGCCAAAAGTCAAGATTTATTTTTTATCACCCAGCATGTATGTTGCACTTTTCTGTAGTAGGTTTTTGATGTTGAGCTAATTTGATAAATAATTAGGTAACTTGTCCTGTGAGAACCACATACTGTGTCTCTCAAGTCAAAAAATAATGAGCTCAGAAATTGTGTTTTTTCTCAGCTTTGCAATGATATTTTTTCCAGCCTGATCCAACAGGTTTCTCAACGGTTTATTTATCTTGAGGAGAAGAATTCATCTCAAACCATGAAGGAACATTTAATCCTTGAGAAATTCTAATCTGAAAATGAACTACTTCTCGCACAATGACTACTAGCATAGTAGCACAATTAGAATTAATCGGTGGTAAAGACTTTGTTGTGAGAATTAACACTGCACCAGTGTTTCTGACTCAGACATGAGTTGATTGGATAATAATTAAAAAGTGATCCTGTTTAATCCTTAGAAATAGACTACTGATTTGCTTCATGCTTGAACGTGCACCTAAAGCTTAATTTATCTTGACTATGACATGTAGGAGGTGCCCTTCTGTGAGGGGTCACATATGAAAGCTCTGATTTATTGCCTGTAAATGTCACCCTCTTATCTTCAAGGCTGCTCTGGGACACAGGGCTACAAGCAAATCACAAAGTGCTCGAGCAAACAGGGGAAAAGATGATTAAAAGAACGTCGTCAGAGACTCACACATACATGATCTTCACTTCCTCATTGAGATGAAGATGAAATCCAGGTTTCCATTGATCATCTTTCACCCATCAAATGTCATTTTCATTTTCCAGCTGCATCTTGAAAACTAATGAAGTTGTTATGTCATTAAAGGGAGCGATGTGTGAATAGTTCAAGCAGCCAACTCAACTGCGCTTGAATTGCTTGACTGAACTAAATGCTCAGATCAGATGTTGGTTCAAAGAAAAAAAGATCCCTGGGGGAAAGAAATCGTAATTTTTCTGGAAGTTCAGGAGTTGTGATTTTTAATTGGATGATAAGTTAACATGTTATTTTATAATTTTAGTCGTATGTAGTTTTCTGTTGAAAATTATGATATTGTCATTTGATGAAATTTGAGAACAAAATTCAAGAACATCCCTTACAGAAGACAGACTGTTGCACATGTTCATTACTAAACCACCTGGTTTTTCCTGTTTCATTCATTGCTTCAACCACGAATATATGTTGCCATGTTTGAAAACCATTGAAACAATAATACTCTGTGTCTGACAAGCAGTTGCATTTCCATTTCCTCTTTCTACTTAAAGTGATGCTTGTGTTCTCTCACAGCGAGACAGAGACAGAAAGCGACAGGCAGCGACAGGCAGAGATACAGAGTGATAGACACCAAAGGAGAACTGCTTAGGAAGAGGAAGCTAAAAGAGACACGAAGAGCAGCGAATACTTAACTTACATTAAAACTATGGCCAGGTTGGATGTCACAGAGATGTTTCACGGTATTTCCTTCCCTGGACACCTGCACACCCAGGAGTCCTTAGAACTTGCTCTCAGATTTCCGTTTCGGGACACGGACGTTCTCATCGTCTCCTATCCGAAGTCAGGTAACTACAGATGACAATTAAACTCATGTTCTATGGGTGCAATTTTAATATATTATAGCTTCTAAGTGCAACTATGTTTATAATGTTTATATTCAGTTCTCCATTGTACATATTATTTCTGTGTTTATATTGCCTGTTTATGACTTTTTACCTCTGACAAGGAAGTTATGTTTTAGCCCCTGTCCATTGGTTTGCATGTTGGTTTGTTTGTTTGTGAGCTGGATTACACAAAAACTACTGAAAGTATTTTTATAAAACAAGAAAGAACCCAGATTTGGACAAAGGGGAGGATCTGGGATTTTTTCTCTTTCTTTTCTTCTTATTTCCCAGGTAATAATTCATGGATTAATTTGAAAAAAATGGCACATTTAAGGGACTGATGTTCATTTGGTGCAGTTTGATTGAATTTAAGGGAACTAGAAGGCTTTAAAAAGATCCAATTCTACGTATCTTATACTAACTCACTGCTGAACACGCACACAGTAAAATTGTGACTTGCATGACTCATTTGTTTGCAGTTTAGGTTTTTTAACTATTCTCAGAACTGTTTTGCTTTTGAATGAATGAATTGAATGAACGTCAGCACAGTGTTCGTTTCGCTCTCTTCTCTCTACAGGCACCACATGGCTGCAGGAAATTGTGACTCTAATTTTGAGCAGAGGGGACCCACATCTGAACCAAACTGTTCCAAACTGGGAGAGGGCTCCCTGGCTGGAGCAATACTACAGTGCAGCTGTACTGGAGGCCTCATCTGCCACACAACGCATCATCACCACACACCTGCCTCATCACCTACTAGGCCCTGCCCTTCAGGGCTCCAAAGCCAAGGTCAGAATAACACAGAGTTATTGTAAACTGATCAGGTCAATATTTATGGTGGTGTATGTCAACTGTAAAATGTCCTGCTCAGTATGTATCTTGTTCTGAATTATTTCAAACATTACTCACATCAGAATCAGCCTTAAGTTATAATTCAAAATATTTGACGTGTGGCTCTTTGTCATGTCGCAGGTTATCTATGTGTACAGAGACCCCAAAGACGTAGTGGTGTCCTTTTACCACTTTCACAAAATGGCCAACTTTCTTCCTGACGCTGGCACGTTTGAAGGGTTTTTAAAGAGATTCCTCGAGGGGACGCGTGAGTTGAAGGAGAACATGTTTTTTTTGGGTTTATATAATTTGATCAAAGACACATGCTTTAATTTTTATCACATATATTTGTTTCAGTGAACTATGGCTCCTGGTTTGACCACGTTAAAGGCTGGTCCAGTCAGAAGAATTTTATGGACAATCTGCTTCACATCACCTATGAAGAGATGTCGCTGGTAGAAGTGATTTATCATTCCCATCAAATGATATTTCTATAAATCTATGTTTTTTATTAGACAGCGAACCTGCCTGTTTTTTTCAATATGCTGCAGTCACATGGACAACAAGACAAAGAGGAAGTTATTAACTCTGTCGTCATGTCTTCAAACTCAGCTTTGCTCACATACCTCAGTCATCGTGTTGCAGTCCAAATTTAATATGTTGATGAATTATTTAACATTATTATTTCACAGAACCTACATGATGCCATAGGGAAGGTCAGCTCTTTCCTACAGTGTCCCCTGGTGGAGGAGGAGGTCAACAACTGTGTGAAACTTTGCAGCTTCGCCAGCATGAAAAATAACAACATGGTCAACTACACCCTCATCCCTCATGAGATAATGGACCAAAGCAAGGGCTCCTTCATGAGAAATGGTGAGGCTGTGAAAAAAAGAAAATAAACATTTGTGGTATCAATCCTCACATCTATTTCTTGGCAGGGAAAAAAACATGAATACCTCCTTTGCGAGGTGAACTTTCTGTATCATGGGTAAACATGAGTCAACAGTTTTTAAAATCATGATCAACTATTCAGTTTGGTTATAGCTATAGATTTACCTTTAATATGTTATTTAAAATCACATTAATTAAATATCATCCTTTTCGCTTCCCTTTCTAACAATCCAGGTAAGACTGGTGACTGGAAGAACATGTTCACAGAGGAGCAGAATCAGTATTTCGAAATCGTCTACAAGTCCAAGATGCAGGACTACCCTGAGTTTGTGTGAGAGGTGCAGGATAAAGAGGAGACGCACGCTCAAGAGCACATTTCTCTGTATTTAAACCATAACAGCTGTATGAATCCACGAGTATGCAATAGATTCAGCCCTGAATGACATGTGTTTAACATCATCTCATGCATACATGAACTTTGAGACATCCATTGTGCAGTGCATTTCTATGCCTCTTGGTTTCTGTTGCTGTCTTATTGATATGTATTCTGTTACAATCTAATAAATGTGTGGATAACTCAGATCATGTGAATCCTCTTGTGGTTGACTCAAGTGTCTTTGCTACGGATCAAGTGGCACTTTTGGTTGCTAATGTGCACAACAAGCAAAGAGATTGAACGTTATGTAAGGAGCCCAATAATGAGCAGAGGGGGAAGATCGAGTCAAAGATTTTAAATTCAACGCTCCTCATCCAGGGGGCTGGGCCGTCCTCATGCGTCACTTCTGCCACCTAAAGAAAGGTGTCGTTCACCGTCCAGTGTACATGCGCTGGAGTTGCTCTGATCTAATCCCAGTGTGTGTGTGTGTGTGTGTGTGTNTGTGTGTGTGTGTGTGTGTGTGTGTGTAAGATCAGTCATATGGTACAGAGTGTACAGAACATGGTGTTCTCTGTGACTGTCAGGGTGGATAACTGGTGGAGATGCTCTGGTCTGTCACAGGTTAAAAGGGCATTCATCTATTGAGGCTTGTCGCTATATGACATCTTATTGATCCGAAACAGTGTTATTTAAATAACTTATAGCGAACCACAAAGATAGTTTGTAGAATTCAAGCGTCCCAGCATGTTACAGATGTTTTTGTGAGTTAAAACACAGTTGAATCTCCAACTAAAATCTAAAATCATATGTATGAAGGTCTTACAGATAACACAGGAACATTAACTCTGACACATTTTACAGTTGCTGAAGCCCTCGGGACCACAGGTCATTTTTCTCTTCTCAGGATTTCACATCTAACCTCTATGTTGTATTTATAGCAATATTTTATCATCTTGGGAAATACACTTTATTCTTCTTTGTTTTTTTAATTTTCAACAATCAAACTGAACAGTTTGGAATATAATTGTGCTTTTATGACATTACGGTTTAGTCACATCATTAATGCCAAGAAGGCTTCTTAACAAGAAAGATGCTTTTGAAACAATTGTTGAGTAGGAAACTATACTCCAAAAACAAGACTTAAAAACCTTCTCACCCAACAATTTCCCATCACATTTTATGAAAACAAATGGTGAAAGAGACATTTATATTTTTACAATAACCAGTAAAAGAGGAAATTAAATAAAGGAAATGCTTAATGTCATTTGTGATGGGAAGTAAAAGATGTAACCTTTTAACACATGCATCACACGTGGATACTACTTGGCCATGTCATTTAATTTTGACTTGAAGATCTTGGGTCATTCAGAACATTGTGTGACAGTAATAGATTTATTTTACTATTTTCAATGCCGCGTAGTTTTCTCTTTTTTTAAAATCTTTTTCTCATCTTTTAATTTCTGTCACTGACCTGTTTGATTTCTGCTAAATGTGTAAAGAGTAATCAAGTTGACAAGGCTTTAATATGCCATCAGCTGTGAATAAAGGCCATGCATCGGTCACACACACACACACACACACACACACACACACACTCACACACTCACACACACACAGCTGAAGCATTCAAACACTTTGTTGTGCACTTGAACTCACGGTTCCTCAATGTGAGAAGCCACTTCACACCTCCCTATATATCAGACTCTGCTGAGGGGAAGGAGGTTGAAGGATAAAGCTGATGTCAGAATGAGATCAAGCTAGAAAGTCACTCAATAGACTTCGTATCTCTGTCAAGGTCCAATAGTCTCCTTATGATACCATATTTAAGTTGCTATTTCTAGATTTTTATTTGAAACTGCACCACACTGCATAGACTCATAACTATCAGTTCGCTAAACAATGCTCGATGTTTATCATCTAGAAAACATGAATTATTCTCTGAGAAATCAATAAAAATGTTGAAAAACTTCCCATCTCTTATGTTAAAGAAAGTGAAAAGAAAAAGTCTTGGATCCACAACCTGTTTCTTTGGTCTTGCCCCACCCCTCCAAAAAGTTTTATGAAAATGTTGTTGATTAGATTCGGCCCGATCCAAACAAATAAACAGGCGGACAGGGGTGAAAAGATAACTTGATAACAGAACAACAGCCTGGTATAATTTGTCAACCTTTATTGTTGTTATTATTATTGGTTTTTGGAAGGAAGAGAAATTGCTTCAACTTATTTGTGTTTTATTTATGTTATTAATTCATTTTATTATGATTAACTTGACCAGAGGTGCTCAATTATTCTTAATTATGTGAAAGAACAATTCAAGAGTAATATCTCAGAAAGATCTTATTTTATGTAAAAAACATTTTATGTTGCCAGGTCCTACGAGCTTAAAATAGAAATCTGATTCAACAACTGAGCTGCATTCACTCCGACATGCCCGTTGACCGTTGTTCCTGTGTGATATGAGACTGCTAATGAGAGCAGGATGTTTGAAGGGAGTCTTGGCAGGTGGTTGAGCCCTGTACGAGAGAAGGCGTGACATTTGTGACCTTTGCATGGCATTTAATGTCTGTCATGTGATCTTTCCCCATTGTGACTAACAGCTGCAAAGTATGTAAATAGTTTAGTTCATTTCAACACACACAGAAGAATTCATCACAGATTTAGTGGGAACTACATGAGACCGCACATCTGACTGACTGAACATCAGTGAGACGAAGAAAAGAAAACCTTGAGATTCAGTTGTTAACAGGCCTTTTGTTGTCGTTTCCAAGAAACACACATAACCTTGAATCGCTCAAACGTCTTTCAGTATATCTGGTACGACGCAGGACATCTCAAGTTGCCATAGCAGCACTTCCTCCCTCGAGCTGTTGAATGAGCAGAATCCACATCTGAGGGTAAATCAAGTTACAGTTAATTCTAATTTAGGCTGGATACTACTGATGTCTTGTAGTCAAACTTGTGAATTTATGTTGTTGACATGGGAAGGCTCTTAGATATCGACTGTTTCCCGATCTCTGAAAATACCTCTTCGCTGATGTGGTGGTACTCTTATTACATTTTCGATTTTTTGTACATTTATTATTAGTTGATTATAACTGATCTCTCAAGAGTTAAAGTAGCAAATTTAATGATTGTGTGAACTTAACAAATATTTCTAAAGTCTAAAGCAACAGAAAGCAACATCACACTGAATAACCAAGTAGAAATAAAATGTCCTTTCAATGTCTGTCAGGTTTTTTCACTTGGTTTAACCGATGCTTAGCAACTGACCCCTCCTCTTCCCTTCACAAGGACATCTCTTCAGCTTCCTATAAAGGTACAGTGAGTAGAATTTTGTGATATCTAGTGCTGAAATTGCATGATGCAGCTGAACAACCCTCACCTCACCCTCTCCCTCCAAAGTATTTTGGAAGTTAAGTTTTTAAAGAAAACTACAATTCAAACAATGTAGATGAAACAAGCTATAAAAAACCTGATAAAAAAGATAGAGGAGGTGAATAAACAAGAAGGAGACAGACACTGTGCTAATATTTATAGATTAAGACTGTTTTGTTTCCTGATGGTATCTGTTTAATATGTGAAAGGAAGAATCATTCATTACCCAGCAAGTCTATTGTGAGTAAAGTCTGTCCGTGGCCAATGAAAGACACAGTAAATCCTGTTTTGGCAAACAGTGGAAAATGATCCATCAGTCAATGCAGTTACACACAACTGTTGTTTTATTACCCTGTGAAAAGCTTGTGTGTGTGTGTGATACAATACACACAATGAGCAATGAGGTGGGTGATTCAGTTTCCCAGTGACACATGAAGAGAGAGCAGATAACCTGGCAGTTGAGTATAACAAGCTTTCAACAGCAGAAAGGATCAGATAATACCCCTGATAAGTATCATTCCTACCTCCAAGATGTGTTTGATATCTGAGGCTACAGATGCACAGACAGTATCAGCACATTCAGTACCAGTGCATTTGCTCTATAAATGCATGTGTCAAATCCTGAAACTAAAATTATACTAATTCAGACTACTTGTGCTCTGAATGTAATATATATAGTCATTATTTAAGCAGCAGGAATTACAGGAGTAACTAGAAAGGCACTCACCCCTTTTTAAACCACATGTAAATTCACTACATCCAGATTTTTATTTGGATCTGCACCAACTTGCACTTGTGAATACCTGTCCCCCAAACATGCCTGCTTTTTTCATCAAGACCCATAAATTATTCTCTGAGAAATCAAAGAGAATGTTGAAAATCTGCACCATAATGTATTACCCACCCCTGCAGAAAATGTCATGAAATGGGTTCAGTCGTTGATGAGTAATCCTACAAACAAACAAACGGACAGGAGTGAAGTCATACCCTCCTCGATGGAGGTAATAATGGTCATGTCAACTTATTCACCTTCAACCTTTCACTGACATGACGGTACAGTATCTGCATTTATGTTTGCTTATACTGTGTATGTCGATCTGAGAACTTTTATGTTACAGAATAAACAATGCACAAAAGATGTGCACTATGTTTATATTTTATGGA